TCTGTCGTGGCTGGAAGGTGTAAAAGCAGCACTGAAGGAATCTGTCAGCAAAGATCAAGAAGTGCTCCTTGTATCACAGGGCGAAGAAACGCTTGGTAATATTACAGAAAAAATTAACTTTCAAACTGTCCCATTAACTGCCCTATATCGGAGCCGGAAGAAATGTTTTGTCACTTTTTCTTTGTAGGCTTAGTCGGGCTAGTGACTTGCATACGACGTGAGATAGGCGACGCATATGCGCGTTATGTCTTTATCCAGGACAAGAATGCTCCCAAGTTCGGTTTAACCGTGCGGTTTTACGTTGAGCAGTTGGATAAAGGACTCTTGGCAAATGTCTTGAAAGGTGGGCAATGGGGCAGTTATCGACACTTGCCATTGGATCAACAGAGCAACGTGCCTTCTCTGCAGGTGGAGCACGCCTATGTAAACACATTGACAAGAGGAGACCTCAGTAGCTTGAGATGGATCGAAAGCTCGTTAAGCTACTATCGTCCCGACAATTTTCCGAATAATAAACTTTGCTGCGTATATTATGCTCCACTGAACTTCAGGTAAGTTTCCATTAGTCATATTTCCATTATCATATTTGTAAGATGCAGGCATAGTATATGAATAAATTATACGAACGACAGGGATATCATGTTGGCGAGTGGCAAATTACCACCGGATGCTCTGCCAAGGAATTTGGCCACGGAAGAATGTATACTGGGACTGGAGTTTTCCGGAAGAGACACGGACGGTCGTCGCGTAATGGGCATTGTCGAAGCTAAGGGATTGGCTACCACAGTAGTCGCGGATCTTGATTTCCTGTGGGAGGTACCAGACAGGTGGACATTGGAACAAGCAGCAACGATACCTGTCGCTTACGCAACTAGTTACTATGCTCTGTTTATACGGGGTCGATTAAAAGCCGGCGAGAGCGTGTTAATTCACGCTGGTACAGGCGGCGTCGGTCAAGCAGCGATCGCCATTGCGCTGCACGCTGGTTGTACTGTCTTCACCACCGTTGGTACGCCGGAAAAGAGAAAATATATCAAGGAACTCTTCCCCCAGTTGAACGACAGGCACATCGGTAATTCCCGAGACACCAGTTTCGAACAACTGATACGTGTCGAGACTGAAGGACGTGGTGTCGACGTTGTGCTGAATTCACTAGCAGAGGAGAAACTGCACGCTGGCATCCGGTGCCTGGCGTTCGGTGGTCGCTTCCTTGAGATCGGCAAATATGATTTGTCCAACGACAGCCGCATAGGAATGTCAATGTTTTTGAAGAACACCTCTTTCCATGGTATACTGTTGGATGCGCTATTCGGAGAAGACAACGCGGAAAAGAAAGAATTAATAAATCTCGTTTCGGAGGGAATAAAAAATGGCGCGATACGTCCGCTCCAATCGACCGTGTTTTCGGAGCAACAGCTCGAGCAGGCATTCAGATTCATGGCGACTGGCAAGCACATCGGCAAAGTGCTGCTGAAGCTCCGTGATG